ATTATATAATAAAGCACTTTTTATTACTTTTTTGATATTATAAATCTTAACAACAAGTATAGAGATGAAATTATTTATGAATTCAAATAGCATTAAATTTTTATATGTTACAATTAATGAATTAATGAATTATCAAGCGACCAATTTAACTGATATTTTAAAAATACTTGAAAGAAATAAACATAGAAGACCTTATGTAATAAAATCTTAATTTCATTCTTAGTGAGAAATAAAATCATCTTTTGTTTTGTTGACCACCTCGTGTTAAAGGATTATAACCTCCAAATATCTCATCCATTCCTATAACCTTACTACCACAATTGTTTTAGTATGACCATGGCAAATATTCTAGTTCCACATAATTGTTTTACGATCAATCCAGGTTGAAATTTCTGTAGCATGTTCTGCAATGATTGTTGAGAAAGGTTCTTTTAGTACTTCTGCACGAGGTGTTCTTCTGTAACCAAGAGAGTTCTTTCTGGCAAAATAATTGATTAACTGGTCGGCCAGGAGCTCTTAGATGCCGAATAATATGTAGAAATTGTTGTAAAGTGGTTTTTAACGTAAGAAATTTTTATTTGAACCATTCTTCAAGTTTGTAGGGAGTAGGATTTTGAGAAATTCTCCATTTGATAACTAAATTCCAAGTTTTAACTTCTTCCGTTTGTAAATCTCCTCGACATCAGTGCATCTAAACTATCAAAAATAATATTCAAATGTTTATAAATTCAGAAATCATTGATATAGTAGGATAAATAAAAGAGAAATATGTTTTTAATCAAGCCTTAATATCAATGGAAAGTTTCTAATTAATTGGTCAATTCTTTAAGTTCAAATTCATTAGTAGCTAACATGACATCAGGAAATTTTGTTAGACGAAAATTTGCGCAAATTTTCAAAACCTGCACAAATTTGCGCAAATTTTTATCTATGTTTTTTCCATTTTTTCAAATTCGCTTGCTATTTGCGAGGTATAGAGCGATTTTCTACTAAAATATTTCTAAGGTAGAAAGAAAGATTTGGTTCTTGGCTACAAAATAATATGCGTTTCATTCTGATAGCATCAATATTCATGGAGTTATACGCGTTTAAAATAGTGCGAAAATTTGCGGAAATTTGCGAAATATTTTCACGAAACTTTGCGCAATTTTTCGTCTTGAAAATTTCCGCAAAATTTCGCAAATTTTCACACGATTTTTTCACGGACGTCCGATTCTAAACACAAATAACTCCATGAATATTGATGCTACCGGAATGAAACGCATATAGTTTTGTAGCCAAGAACTAGACCTTTCTTCTATCTTAGAAAATCGTGAGCGAAGTTGAAAAAACGGAAAAAAAATTGCGCAAACTTTCGCCTAATAAAATTTCTGATGCATTAAAAAATAAATATTGTTTCACCATTTCCAAATTAATAAAAATAAGTTTCAATATGAAATAAATTATTGTTGATAATAACTTACTTGAGAATAGAATTTGCTGAATGATTTCTTACTCTAATCTTTACGAAAATATGGTGATTGATATTTTAATGTTTGAATGTACCGTTAATGATTTTTCATTTTTTTCAATTTCAATGATTGCACTATAATCATCTTTCTTATCAAGCTCCATAAAGTTTGAGATATCTTGTCAAAAAATTATAAAGACATTTTGATTTTTGCAAATTATTGTGAGTTCGAAAAAGAATAATGATTTACGCTTAAGCTCCTAATGTAACCGTTCGGTTCAGTTCTATTGTTGAACAGAAACTGAACCAAAATTTAAAACATGTTTCAGTTTGGAGCTGAAATTAAAAACTTCAATCCGAACCGAACTGGAAACGAACCGATCTGAACCGGTTTGCACCAGTTCAAAAATGGTTCAAAGTTTAATTTCATTTATTTTATTTTTAATTTCAAAATACATATTATAAAAATTTACATATTTTATTTCATTTTTTTTTCTAATTTTAACCACCCTTTTAAACACATACACATTCTTATAGTATCAGAATTTAAACTTCCTCTTCTTTGTGCAATTAAATCAGTACCACCTGAAAATATTCTTTCAACTGGAACACTTGTTCCTGTTTAAAATAAAATTTTATTTAAAAAAATAATTTATAATAAATTAATTTAATAAATTTAAAACATACCAGGGATTGATAAAAAATCATAGGCCATTTTTGCAAGATTAGGATATTCTGACTGATGAAGCTATATAAATAAAATTTAAATAATATAATAAAAATAATTTTCAATATCAATATTTAATTTTAAACCATTACCTTCCAATATGTTAAAATATCTACTTCATAATTTGATGGAGGTTCTTTTAAATATGAATTCAATTCATCTGTTTGCACAATTTTTCTTTTTTTAAAAATATGATCAGATAAAGCATTAAGTTTAGATGAATATTCATCTATTTCTTTGTTGCCAATGGGTTTATATCTCTCATTCCATATATCATCTTTTTGTTGTTTATAGCTTTTAATATATTTGCTATCAATATTAATGTCTTTATAATATGTTAATTTTAATTTAGGATCTAAAACTGTATAAATATAAATTAATTAAAGTTTAAATAGAAGTTAATAAATTATAAAAAAAAATAATAATTATACTTGTCGCAATTATATAAACAAGTCGATCAGAAGTTGAATAATAATTCTCTAATTTTTGTAAAGCAAAATTGGTAGCCTCATTGATACCGGAAGAAAGATTATTTTTTATTTGAAATTCTTTGATAGTTTCAAATAAATAGTCATAAGCAGGAACAGTTTGACTAAGAGTTGGAAGTTTTGCTGTGCTCATTTCTAAAGTTGCAATTTTGAAACACTATTATAAAACAACATAATATTAAAATTTAGAATATAATTTAAAATTATTATATCAAATTAAATTATACCTCTGATAATTTTTTTATTTCTTCTAATTGCTTACATTCATTTTCTTGTAACAAATATAATGATAGATTACAATCAGCAGATGTTGTATTATGAAGAGGTTAATATAAAAAACAAATTATTATATTATAAAATATAATTGAATTATAAAAATTTAATGAAATATTTTACTTGAAGAATTAATGATCTTTCAATCATGTCATAAGTTGAATTCCACCTTGTTTTTACATCAGGAATTAATTGAAGACCTTTAATATTTAATGCTTTACATTGTTGATTAAGTTTATCACGTCATTGTGGAGAAGCTCATATTTTAACCACTAATTTTCTTAATTTTTCTATAATACCCAAAGAATTTTCATTGATAAAATCCAATAATACGTCTTCCTCATTTTCTGGACCCATTCCTTTTTAGATTTTAAAGTATTTTGTGCTGCAAGGCTTATTATATGTGCTAAGCATCGAATATGATGTTTTTCAGAATTAAAATCAATGCCTTCAACTGAACAAAAAACATCTAAATAAATAAACATGGTATCCATATTACTAGCATTATCAGCTGTAATAGTTAATATCTAAAAGTATTAAATTAAATAAAAATAAATAAAATCAATAGATAAATAAAATAAATAAATAAATAAAATAAATAAAATAAATAGAATAAATAAAATAAATAGAATAAATAAAATAAATATAATAAATAAAATAAATAGAATAAATAAAATAAATAAATAAATTTACCTTTGTAGAACAATCAACAGTAAGCAATTTCATGTTGTCAGATTATTTCTTTTTGATAAAATTTATTTTTTCATTAGCTTGAAGAAGTGATTGGCATGTTCTACTACTGCTGCTTCCACTCTTACACTACAAATACTATACTAAGATCATGTCAAGTGACCAATGAATGCATTTTTGAAAAGATTTGAGAAAAGAATTCTGAAATGAAAGCTGATGATGTTTCGAGCTTAAGGTCTGTATATTCTTTATCCAATTATAAATATATACAGTATATTAATGCAAATCAACAGGAGCGATGTGATAAGAAGGTTAACAAGGATTTCGTCTATCAAGATTTAAATCCAAAGTTGCTGCTAAAAATGTCGTTTAGATAAATAATGATGAAAATATGCAAAGAAAAGAAATCATAATGTTCTTTTTCTATTTTTATAAAATTTTTTATTCTTTTAACTTTTATATGCTTTCTTATTCTACATATGTATTTATTATTTTGCTTACTGTAAATAAATAATTATTCATAAATTAAAACATCTCATCACTTGTCTAAATAATGAACCTGTATATTTGTATACTATATTTTCTGTATTGTAAAAGAGCCAATTTTTATTGCTGGCCGCTCATCATCATCCCTATAATTTATTTTACGGTCACTTTAATGAATTTTGATTTAGGTTAGTCTCATCATTATCGGTTATTTTTTTCTACTTATCATTCTTTATCATCCCCACGATTTTTAAATTCACAATCAATAAACATCTCCAATTTTTTTAAAACTCTCGGTCATTATCCTCTAATGAATTCAACTATCACCATTATACATCATTATCTTCATTCCTACAATTTTTTTAAATTTATTATTGAACACCAGTCTCATCATTGATTTTTTATCATCATCATTGTTACATAATCTGTTTCTCATCATCATAATTATATTATTTTTTAAAAAATTATTATGGATTTTTGATTCTTTCCATAATTACCGATCTCATCTTCTAAAAATAAACATCAAGCAAACGAAACGCTTTATATAAAAAGAAACATGAAAGTCCGGATGACGCAATCTCATATCCAAATATGAAAGGGGCAAGAGTTTGGTTTTAAGATAAATCAATTTTCATATAAAGAGGCCACCTGAGGAAAAAAAATGTAAAGAAAATGAATGTGCTATATTAAATGTGTTTACATAAGTTATTAATAACCTATGATTTTATTTCCTTTTTAGAACATTAACATGATTTGAAAAAAGGATTAAATCTGTGAAATCTCCACTTATCCCTAGTGATCATCCGTGACTTTTTTTGTTGATATTTTCATGGCTGATATTTTCCTGGGCGATTAGAAATTATACTTTATTAATACGTACGTATTATTACATTGATTTACATAATTGGCTAAAATTATTGCTTTTTAATATTAAAATTACATTTGAGAAAGTAGAATTACTAAATATAGGAGTTTGTGAATTATTATTTAAAGAATTAAAAGAGATCTCTTGTAACGGATGTTTTAATTTATTTTTTGAATTATCAGTAATATTAATTAAAGTATTCATTGTATAAGATTTCTGTTCTTCATTAATTTTTTTATATGCCCTAACACCTTCGACACTTTTATGTTCTGTCAATTGCATAATTGCTTGTTCAGAAATATTATTATCTTGTAAACATTGAGCAGCAGTTTTATGACCTGAATGGTTGGAAAGAGCATCAAAGGAAATATCAATTTGTGTTCGCTGCCCAATGTCTTGCATAAAATTACTCAACTTATTTTTTCCTACATGATTTGATTTATACCAGAAACCAGTTTCAGTCCAATTTAAATTAAGTTGTAAATAAAAATTATTTTCTTCACAAATAGGACGTTTAGAAAAATATAATTTTACATCAGAATATAATTCTGAATCAGCAGGTATGTTAATAATATTTGCATTACCATTGTGAAGTCCACGTTGATTATTTTTGGAAGTGTAACGAAACAATTTTAATCCATAATCATCAAATTTAAATTGCTCAATTTTAAGATGATAACGTTCACCAACACGCATTGCAAGTAGAATTGAAATAAGAAAAAATACTCGGTATAGTAGATTTTCAGGTTCTTTACAATTCATTTTTGGATGTTACATGATTTGTTGTATTTGTTCAGTATTTAAAGCTAATGAACTAGTTACTTCTCGTAATCCACATTCTTGCAAGTCTTTCATTCTGCTATGTAGGACATTAATTAAATCTGGAAACATATGTTTGTCATGTAAATTAATATGGGAAATAGGAGAATGGATACGAAGATAACGGTCAATAGCATCAATTGCTTGTTTAATTGAATTGGCCTTATATTCTTTCCCGTCAATTTTTTTCACAATTGAAATGTATTCAACAAGTTCCTTTTGAAGTTATTTTGTATCCGATAGTTTAGATAATGGAACCAGGTATCCATATTCATTTCGAAAATTATTAAATTTTTTAATCCAATTTTTAGTTGATTTTTCAGTATTGCAGTATTGAATACTTTTAATTTTTCACGAAAATATTCAACTTTTGCTTTATTTCTTCATGAAAATCTTTATTTGTTTCTTTAGTTTATATTTCAATTTTAGTTTGCTTGTTTAACAAAGTTAATGTTGATTCAAATGTTAAAGAATTTCCCTTTTTGTCCATAAAGTGTTAAAAAAAAAAATAGAAAAATATTTATTATCCTTTTTTATTTTTATTTTTTTTTTACTATTTTTTTTTTTTGATTATTAATCAAAAGCTTTCTAAGTTTGTAGAGTTTTTTTTTATGCCATGAAAATAGTTTAAAAAAATCAACGGATGATAGGTCCCGTGAGATAAAATAGTTATTTCACGTATCTCCGGCTTATCGTAATTTTCACGGCTATCGCCGTGAAAATTAATGATATCCGTGAAATAACTATTACATAGATAATGTATTATATATGAATGATTTCTATTAAATCAATAAAATGTTCCAATCAGTGGTGATATGATTAAGGAAAAGGCTCAGATTTTTTTTAACAGAATTATATCTTGATAAAACGATGTCTTTTTCTAATGGTTGGTTAGAAAATTTAAGAATATATATATTATTAGAATAAATATTTTTCACATTATTATTGTATTATTCACATTGTTATTAGAATTATTATTATTCAGGTAATCACGAGTATGTTTCGTATTTTCAGGAATATTATTATTACTACTATCAATTAAAATCTTCATCACCAACACATTGCCTTCTATCGGCATTTCTCCATCTTTCATAAATAAATATGTTTTTAAGTGAAAAAAAAAAATAAATAATGGTTTACATTCAAGATCAATCTTTGTAAATAATGTGAATCCAAGATAAAATTCTCGGATAATTTAGAAAAGGAGTGAAATATATATTATTGTAGACATGATGTTTTAATATAATATAAAGAATCGATAATAAACTTAAGAAAGTCGATAAATAATAATTATTGATTAATTGATATAATAATAATTAATTAATAATTAAATAATTTAATTATAATAAATAATATAATATATAACAATATATGACAATATATAATATAATCATATAAGGAAATGAAGAAAACAATTCCAAAGAGTACACCCATAATTAAAGTTGAACAAGAAATAGAAAAAAAACTGAATGATGTTAATATTGTTTTAAAGTCCTTAAATTAAGTAAATTATTTAAATTTAAATAAATTAAACGATAAAAATAAAATAATAAAAAAAAAATAATAATAAATAATAATAAAATAATAAAGAATAAAAAAGAATAAAAATTATTTAAGTAAAACTATTTATTTAACTCATAAAGTATGATACTCTACTAAAATTATAGAATATAATCGATGATCAACTTTTAAAATTTGGAATATTGAAAAGAAATAAATTTGATCATGAAACTGCAAGCCCCATATTCTTATTCAACTAAAATTGATAAAATAAAAATAAAAAATAAATAAATCTATGAAATATATAATGAAACCATATCAACTGACTTACCTTAAGGAATCATTTAGTCATCAACATTATTAAGAAATTCTATAATTATGCAATAAGTATTGTAAATAAATATTAATAGCGTTAAAAAACTAATAAAAAAATATTACCTTCAGGGATTTCAAAATTAAATTGTTGAGTTGTATATGCTAAATATAAGTGTACAACATTATATTAATATCAATATGATTAAAAAAATCGGTGATTTTATTGGAATTAATATTTGAGCGATTTTACCTTGTTCTTCTATAAAGATGATGAAAAATCAATAAATTAATTAATAAAATATAAAATAAAATAATTAAAAATTAAAAAATTAAAAATGTATCACCTTCTGTGACATTGCTAAATGTATAAACTTCACTGGTTTGGATTTTATCTTTTGTTAAACTTGATTGGGAAAAATTTGATTTTGAACTATTAGCCTCATTAGCTTTGTCGATCTGGTTATCTAGCTCACTATCATGATCATCAGTATGTAGTTTAAGTTGAGATTCCAATTCTTTAGCAGTCGGACGATTTAAAGGATCATCATCCCAACATTTTTCCATTAAATCTTTGAGCAATTGTGGAATTCAATACTTAATTTCAGGTTTAAGCCCTTCACAAATGTCCATTACAAGTTTTTCATTATGTGGAATATTATAATAAGGTGGATAACTAGTAAAAACTTCTAACATAATCATGCCAAAAGAATAAATGTCAGATGCTTGAGTGTATTCTCCTTTACTCAATGTCTCAGTTGCCATATATGGAATTACTCCATAAATATTCCCCGGATCATTTTCTGAAACTGGTATACATGAACCAAAATCAATAATATATGGACTAGTTAAGGACACATTAACTATATTACCAGGATGAAAATCACGATGAACTAAGCCAGTCTCATGAATTTTGGCCAATCCATTACTGATATAATATAGAACCTTAATTTTATGTTTCCAAGTTAATTTGTTAAAGTAAGTATTTAACATTTTTCGAAGACTACCATATCTGGCATACTGCATAACCATCATGTATTCATTTTCTTTCGGATTTTTAGTTATACCATATATTGCAATTGCGCCTTTACCACGAAATTTGAGTTGAATTTCAATCGAAAATATTAATTAGCATAAATAAAATATAATTATTATAAGTATATTTAAAATAATGACCATCAGTTGCCATAGGTGAAGGCAACGATGGGTCGGGTGGTTAGGTTAATAGCTTATAGCCAGTCTTATTAAATGTATGATTTTTTTTCTCATGTAACTTGTTTACCATACCAGTCAATCAATCAGAAAAGTTTAATACGGCATGACTCCGTTGGAATCAAAAATATATATATTTAAAATAATGAAAAATAAATAATGTAAAATATTTACCTCTTGCAAAAATCCAATTCTATTTATGGAATTATCAAGATTTTTTAAGCAAACATATTTCCTTCGCGATTTTCTTTTCCAGTTGTCTTCTTTATAATTCCAAGAACTAATATATCCATCAAGCCAGAATGCCTTATAAATTGCGCCAAAACCTCCCTTATTAAAGTACACGATATTTTTTAATCTATCAAATGGAATCCATTCAATAACTTCTTTATAATTAGTTGAGTTGAGTTGAGTTTGTTGGATAAACTGATCAATTTCTGCATCTCCACTTGTCCAGTCAGAAAATTCAGTTCTAAATCGTTTAGAATTACAAGAATTGCACCATTTCAATCCAATATTGGCTTGTTGGCATTCCTTGCACATTCCATAGTTTTCGAAATTTCTAAAAAAAAAAAAAATATTATTGATAATAAGTTATCATAAAAACTTTTATATTATAAACCAATTATAATTCATGTACTCACTCGCTAGTTATTTAATTTGCATTGATAATTGATTAAAAGTGAAGTTATTTAATTTCAAATCATCTTAAAAATTGATCTTTTTAATCTAAATACTTACCTCCTGTAATTCAAAATTGATTTAATACGGTATTATTAGTTATAAACTTTATCTTATTAATTATAATTATAATTCTAAATTCTCACCTCCTATAATATAATATGCATGTCAGTTATTTAATAAAAATAAAAAAAAAATTGTTTAGCATGATATTGAATTGCAAGAAACTTTTATCTTAATAAAGATTAATTAAAATACTTATACTTACATCCTATAGTAATAAATACATTAATTTAATTTATAGTTAAGTAGAACAATTTAAATTATTGGATCAAACATTAATTTTAATAATATACTCACATTCTACAACAAAAAGTTGCACGCAATTGATAATTGGTTGATAATTGATGAATAATTGAAATGAATTATTATTTGATTTTGAATTAATAAAAACCAATCTTAATAAATTTTGATACTCACTCTCTATAATTTTATATAAAATTAATAGATAACAGATTAAAGAAGTTTATTATCTCAAAGCTTTGACTTAATGATATGAATATAAAATACTTACTCTCTTTAATATAACGAAATATAATTAATTAATATTTGATTAGCGAAATGTTAAATAATTCAAAGCTTTGATTTTAAGAAATCTAAGTTTAAACACTTACTTCCTATAGTTTAAATGCACGAAATTGATTGATAATTAATTAAATAAAGATTATTTTAAATCATTTTTAAATGGCCTGAAATTCGATTTTAATGATTATATATTAAAAAATACTTACTCCCTGAACATAATGTGCACATGCGATTGATAAATTAATTAGAGAAATATTTAATATTGAATTAACACGAAACTTTGGTTTCAATGATTATAAATTTTAATACTCACTCACTGTAACATAATATGGTATTGTTTATAATTGATTAGAGAAAATTAGATAATATAAAAATTTAATATTGATAATGATCACAAATTCAAATACTTACAGTCTAATTATTTAGGCGCATTCAATTGATTATAAATTGGTCAAAAAATATTATTTTGATGTTGAAAATTTGATTTCAATGATTATATATGAAATACTTACTTACTGAAATATGATGTGCGTACATAATTGATTAATTATTTAGTATTAAATTATCTCGAAACATTAATATTAATATATTAATCAAATACTTACTCTCTGTACACGAATATTTGATGGTTGTTTGTTAATTTTTATTTGATATTTAATTGATTTTAATAATTATGAATCAAAATACTTACTCACTATCAATTAAATGAGCATGCAATTGATAATTGATTAGTTTATTTGATATCTAATTACTTTTACTTGATTTTTAATAGTAAAAACTTAAACACTCACTCCCTATAATAATATAATGTGATGCAATTAATTGATGATTGATTAGAAAAGTGTTGTCTAATGTAATTATCATTAAGAAATCTTGTTATTAATAATTTAAATACATACTCTCTGAAATAAATGATATACGATTTATTTATATTTTTTAGTTTTTTAGTTAATTGAGAATTATCAGATTAATTAGCTTGAAACTTTGATTTCAATGACTATAAATCTAGAATTCATAATCATAAGATGATTACAAATTAAAATACTCACGGTCTTAATAAAAATATGCATGTAATAGATTTAAAAATAAAGAAGTATTATTCATTATTAAAAGAACATGAAATCTTTGATTTTAATAATTAAATTACTCACTCTACTGATTCAGCAATAATTCCTACATGTTCAAGATCTTGTATAACTTTCTCAATATTTGGACGTTGATCTGGGTCTTGATTCCAACAGTCTGTTGAATATGTAATGAAATAAATAATTTATAATATATTAATTAATTTACATTTTAAATTAAAAACAAACCTTGATAGATCGTAACATAATTTTGCGGTGTTCCGTGAATTGGATCTTCTCTATTTCCCTTAACAATATAAGAAACCAAATCTAATTTTTCTGATTTATCTTGTAATCTAGATTCATATGAATAATATGGAATTTTTCCACTTGAAATTTCCCACAGTAAAATTCCAACACTATATATGTCAGATGCTTTAGTTATGCTAGATTTTCCTCTGCTTTAAGAAGCATTGGATCCGAGTACTCAATTAATCCCAAAGAATTTAATAAATCGATTGAAGGTTCGACAACAAGTTTGGCTATACCAAAATTACTAATTTTAACAGTATCGTTATGGATAAGAATATTCTCCGAATTCTATAAAATAGAATTATATTGGAATTAAAAAAAAAAAAAATAATTGTTCATCATAAAAAATTTAAAAAAATAAACATCACCATATTTCCGTGAATGATATCAGATGAATGAAAATATTCAATAGCTTTAGCAATTTGTTGAGCAAGTGTTAACACGCTGAACCATCCAATTTTTTTAAAATCGGATTTCAAATAATTACGTAATGATACACCATTTAAATATTCTAATACAAGTATATAATTGCTACTATTCAAATCTGTATCAATATATATCAGATGTATATAAATATACGATTTAATGTATGTACATATTTTCGCTAAAAAAAATTATATATTATTAATTTAATTTTACCTTTTTGAGAAATCCCATAAAATTTTATGATATTTTCATGTGGATTTACATTTAAATGTTTTTTAAGCTGAAAAAGTAAAATATATTCAATTTATAATAAATTTTATGATTTCGAGTTTTTCAATATAGTATAATAATTTTACCTCATTAACAAATAATTCCATAGAATCAATAACGATAGATTTTAAATTCACTTTTTTTTCACCATTCATTAGTGTAGCATTGTAAATGCTTTCACCAATTTCTTCAAGATTTTCGAAAACATTATATCCATATTTTTTAAGTTCATTATTGAGCCATTCTTGATCGTAAGAATTAAGTAAAAGAGTTGATGATTCTCCAGGATTTCCTAGAAACAAAAATATTAGAATATAATAGATAAACAATAACATATTAAATAATATTTCTATGAAGTAATTTGTATTTATTGATATCAAAGAAGTACCTGCGATTTCTAAATTTTCTAAATTTTCTAAGCTAGTTGACATTAGTTGTTTTTGAACATTTTCAAGAGAATCACGAATATTTTCTATAGTTGGTCTTTTCTCTGGATTGTCTTCCCATGCATTTGAATAGATTTTGATATAATCATCTGGTGTTCCTTTAATGGAAGTTTCTCTTTTACCAGATAGAATCTTAAAATATATATCGAAATCCATTAATGCGTTAAATGGAGGTTTTCCGCTTGATAGCTCCCATAAAAGAACCCCCAAACTATAAATATCAGAGGCTTTATTTCGTTTGTATGTTTTCAGATTTCGTAAATATTCAGGATCCGAGTACGCACACGTTCCTCCTGCAAAGGAATTAGAATTGGCATCTAATCTTTTAGATAAGCCCAAATCTGTAATCAATAATCTTCCCTCATGAACTAAAACATTCTTCGAATGCTATTAAAAATAAATTTATATATAATTTATAAATATACAAAATCATCTTGTATATACTTACTAAATCTCGATGAACAATATTTGATTCATGCATATAACATAAACCATTTGTTATGTCTTGAGCCATTCTAATTTTAGTTTTCCAATCAAGATTTACAAAGTTATTTTTTAAGTAAGTTCGTAAATTACCATCTTCAGCATATTGTAACACTAGGTAGCATTTCTCGGCTGACTCATCTTAATTAAATAATAAAACTAATATTTAGTACTTTATTTTATTATTTAATCGATAAATAAGCATTTAAAATAAATAGATATTTTACCTATACTGACTCCATAAAATTTAATGATATTTTTGTGGTGATTTACTGCATTAATATTTTGTAACTAATAATTTAAAAAGAAATTGTATTTATTTTCGTCTCAAAAAATATTTTTAATTATTTTAATTATTTTAATTATTGTAAACAAAATATTTATCTACCTCATTCATAAATGCTTTATAAAAATCAATATTATTTTCATCAAACAAACATTTTAATGCAACGTGTTTTTCTAAAACTTTCGAATAGGCACAACTGACAATCCCAAATCCTCCAACTGCAATTGATTTGATATCTTTAAATTTTTTATAATCATATTTTTGAATATTTCGATCTTTTGCAATTCGAGTTAAATTAGTTAACTCTTTTTTGTTATTCGAGAAAGACATCTTTTCGAATAAAGAGCGATTTACTACAAAACATTTTATCTAATATAGAAATTGAAAACGTTACTTCAAATCCTAAAGAAGAAATTGCACAAAAAAAAAAATAATTCACATCATGCATACTAAAATTGGTAGTACTAAATTCACACATAGTCCTAATTGGTACTAAAGGCGTTCATAATTAAATAAGTCGGGCTTGAATTTTTAATAAAATTCAATTCAAAAAAAAATACCATTATGTATTTAAGTCGTACACAAGGGAATTATCACATCAATGATTTAGCGGATTACTTTACGTACAAATTATTACATGAGATGATCGCTCATTATGGTCTAATCCGTGGATACAAAATCTGGATATCTGGGCAGATACAGATATCAGGTAACGGATAAAAAATTATGGATATTCAGATATTCGTGTTCAATGTTGAAAAGGCGTGGATAGATATTCAACCAACAAGCTAATCTTTAATAGATAATCCAAAATCCTTAGTGGTTACAATCTTACTGTTTAGAATCCTAATTTTATTTAGTAACTAATGTCAGTATTCTTTTTTTTTAAAAAAAAATAGAAATATCAAAAATTCGATTCTTAGTGTGTATAAGTTTAGTCTTAAATGAAGCTGTTTAATAATCCCAATCGTGGCCCAAATTTTTTACTCTAATTTGAATATTATTCAAATTAAAAAGAAAAATATTATTAAATTATTTTTCTATTTTGTAATATTTGTTATTTTAATTAATATTTAATCATTACTTTAATTATCACGTTTAATTAAAATTATTTTAATTATTATTTTAATCATTACTTTATCTATCAAGTTTAATTAAAGATAGAAGAAGGAAAAGAAGGCGAAAAGACGATGATAAATGATAATAATAAATATTAGACATTGTTGGGATTTTAACTTTTATTTCTTTTTTACGACTCGTTTATGCATGCACACTTGCCCACGCTTTTACACATTTTGCAAATTTTATTTTTTATAATGATAATTATGATGAGGATCTTATTGTTAGATTATTTAAATTTTATTTTAATTTTTCATCTATCAATCATTTATCATAAAAAAAAATTTTTAATTTTTCAAAAAATATCTTCTCATGAAAATGATTTAATTTCAACGTATTTCTTGTGTGCATGTTATTGAATTACGGAACAACAACTCTGTAATCTATTAAAACACGGAGAAAAATAATTGATAGTGGTGCATAAATATCAAAAAAATAATTTAAATAAATTAAAACAAATAATAAGTATAAAGAACTCACTTATTTTTTATTAATAAAATTTGGTTTCTTTAAATATTAGATAAAAATCAAATTATTATGAAATTTATCAAAATCATCATAAAGTTATCATAAAAATGAAAATATTCAAAATGTTTACTTGCAAATAATAATCAAGAATCAAAGTGTTATTAAAGTAACTTTTTCTTTCTCATTTTTTATCAAGTATCATTTACAAATTCGTTAAAATAATTTTAGCAAAAAGACAACAACCTCAGTGCAACTCGACAAAAAGAATTTTCTTCATTATACTCTCACCATCTTTTGACACTTCTTAAATTCACTCAATTCACCCACGTCATAATTCCCCCTTCAAATAATGATGTTTATATATATTAAATGTGAAAGAAATGATATTAACCTAATAATACCAGTGCTTCACTTCAAGAATTTTTGAATTAAATATTATGAAATAATAATCATCGTAATTAACTACGATTAATAACTAATAAACATAACAACTATAATAACCATAACAATGACAATATTTTAACCGTCACAACATTTGCAACATCATTCATACTTCGTAATAAAAGAAAAATAAATTCACAACTTATCTATAAATTAATTATAATTTATTTTGTGAGAAATAAATGCATCATAATTAAGTTGCAGCGGCATGAACATGCTAACGCTTTCACAAAAGGGCTTGTTAAAATTTGTTAAAATTATAAAGTTATTTATTCTCACATTTAAATAGAAAAAAAAAATAAAATAAAATAAAAAATGTAAAATGAATATAAATTTAATAAAAGAAATAAATATCTAAGATTTTCTAACAATTTTAAATACTTCATAATTAACAATAGAAAAGTTGTTTGATGATGTTCTTATAGGTTTTTCATAATGATCATTGCTACAGTAATTTCTATTATCTAAAGTAAAATTAGATTCTAAACTATATAAATAAAAATCTCCAAAGTATGGACCAAACTTATTTTGATATATTTTGAATATATTACAAAATGCATATTTGGTATTTTCTACTCTACTAAGAACAGAATTTTTAATATTACCATTTTTTAATGAGAAAATAAAACTATCTTTTGTTTTCATCCAATCACCCCTCAACCATGAAAATGTATCAAGAGTATTATCCCAAGCTAAAGGATTATAACCACCAAGTATCTCATCAGTCCCTTTAACTTTCACTATCACAACCGTCTTAGCGTGACCGTGACAAATATTCCAAAATGTTTGTGGAGCAAACCCATCTCTAGTTCCACTTAAAATTAATTCAAATTTAAATGGAATACTTTCTGTTGAGTAATTAACTGTTTTACAATCGATCCAACTAGAAATTTCTGCAGCATGCTCTTCAGAAATAATTGTTGAAAAAGATTCTTTTGGTACTTCAGTACGAGGAGGTAATTCTGTAATCAAGGCGGATCTTGCTGGCAAAATAATTGATTTAACTGGTCGATCAGGATCTCCTAGATGCTGAATAATATCTTTCCAAAGTTGTTTACCAAGAATCTTTTTATAAGGCATAATTTTATCAATTATTTCAGTATTTGAAATATGAAAATACCGAATAAGTGGTAGACATTGTTGCAAAGTGATTTTTAACGTGAGAAAATCTTCTTTGGACCATTCTTCAAGGTTTATAGGGAGAGTAGTATTTTGAGCAATTCCCCATTTGATGATATAATCCCAAATTTTAACTTCTTCCATTTGCAAATCGTCTCGCTTGAGAAGGGACACTAATGCGGATTCAGGAAGAGAAGTGGAATCTGAACTATCAAAAATAAGACTTGGATACTTTGCAATAATATCATTACAATAATTTTCTAAATTTTTAAAGTTGTTTTTGTTAAAAATAGTACGATAAATAAGAGAAAAATAAGTTTTTAACCAAGAAGCTTTAGTTTCAATGAGATGAGTTTCTAATTTTCTGGTCAATTCATTAAGTTCAAATTCATTAGAAGCTAACATTAAATCAAAAATAACTCTCGTTTCAGCCTTCTCTAAATTAACAATTCCTCCATAAATATATCTACATAAAATAAATAAAAATAATAAATAAATATATTAAATTCTTTTATAATAATAAAATATAAGTGTTAATATTTTATTATTGACAATAACTTACTTGAGAATAATATCAAAAATTTGAGCAGAAACACTTGACTTAATAATGGTCTTAACATTATTTTCATTTGGCTTAATACTTTCTAACTCTTTACGGAAATATGTCGACCGATATTTTAATATGTTTGAATGTGCTTTAAAAGATTTTTCCTTATTTTCAACTTCGATTATTACATTATAATCATCTTTTTCATTAAGTAGCTCAATAAAATTTTGAGATAACTTGTTAAAAAATTTTAAAGACATTATTATTTTTGAGTTCGAATAAAAAAGACGGAATTATTTAAATTATTCATGTGATTGTCTGTATGACAAATGTGACAAATGCACGAGGATTTCAGTCGAACTAAATAAAGACTGGAATTAGATCGTCACTTACGCCCCTTTTTCGTTTTAACCCTTCTAGTTCTTCTGCATCTTTTTGAATTCAATAAAAAAAACTTTTAAACTGTTTTGTATTACAAATATTTGCTAAAATTCTTGACATTATTAATACTTCATTAAAATATTTAATAGAATATTTGGTTTTAGTTTAATTGATCAATCCAGGGGCAAAAATTTGTCACCTGTCGAAAATCAACTATTGCCATATTTGTTACCAATTATCTGTCATTAATGCGAACCCAAATTTTAGGTATTGCTGAAGCTCACTGGGTAATTATCACCACCAGGCAAAATTACATTCTTAACTTTGCCTACGCAAGTTTAATTTTACTCAGTGGTGACAATCACCACCGTGAGCTTTATCAATTTTCTAAAATTATATAATAAAAAAAAATTTTTATACTGAATAATTTGAAAATAAATAATTGGAGTTATTTAATATTAAAAACCAAAAAAGGTGAAATTTTTAAATTTTTGGAGATTTAAAACTGTTAAGGCAATATTATAAATTTTCTACTTTTTTCAGAATATATGTTTAGGAGTATATATATACATTCAAACTGCTAACTATTAATTTTACTAAGCAAAAAAATGTGGGCGATATTTCTAAAATTTTGCTAAATACTTTGGCAATAAATTCTATTCCAAAGTTTTCTTAAAAAAACTTTTAATGATTATGTTAAAATTAAAGATATAAATATGTAAATTCCAAGTGTATTAACAATTAATAGTTTTAAATTTAATATTTTTAAAAAATCAAAAATAAAACATAATAATATGCAAAAATGAATCCGCTTGCCATACTTTGTTGAAATTATTTTGAGATGTCATCATTGATTTTAAAAAGAATTCTCAAGGTCAAATAAAATTTCGCAATTCCTATACTTGTTCGGATTATTTTTATATCAATTAATACGTCAAATAATTTTCTCTTCCAAATGGATTAAAGTGGATTTTGTGACATTTTTCATGCATGTTTAAATTGAATCAAAGAAATAATAATTATAATTGTTTTATTCTTTTATTATTTTATTATTTAATTGAGTCAAATTAGATATTCATTGAAATTTCCTCTGGGATTTTTTTATTGACATTTAATAAATAAAATTAATTTTAAAAATTTATCTAGAACAATACGAGAGATCACGCCTTCGGAATTGGAAGATCAAAATAAAATAATACAAAAATAAAATATGTGGTTACAATCCTATTGTTTGGATTCCTAATTTAGATTGTCA